ATCCATTTATTATTTATTTAATCACATTAGATAAATTGCCAATGGATTAAGATTATTTAAAATTTAATCTTATTTACATTTTAACTTTTAAAAAATTTAAATCTTTTGATTGAACCTTATCGTTATCTAATCTCAATAGATAACTTTATCCCTATAAAAATTATTATTATTAATTAATTAGATTATCACTAATCACTTATAAGATTATAATCTAATTTAAAAGTTAAAAATGAATTTGATAATCTAGAATTTTCAAACTCATCTAATCCCTATTAAATAGGGATTTTATTCTCTTATAAACAATTAATAATAAATAAATAAATAGAATCCTAATTTCATGCAAAATCTAATTTTCATAATCCATTCTATGTGTAATTTTAACTACAACAACCTCAAATCTAATCAAACTCTAATCGTTAGAAATTACTTTTTTGACCCCTTGTAATTTTTCATTAATTTAACTTTAAAATTTCAGTTCTGGAATTTCTAAAAAACCCAAAACTTTCAATTTTGTCAAACAGCCCCCTGCACCAATGAATAGACTGTTTTCCGAGGGCTGCGTGTTTTGGCCAAAAACAACCTTCCCGATATCGGATTGAGCTAAAAGTTTCTAGAATCATTCACAACATGTTAACTATATCAACTAAAATTTTAGTCAAAAAATATTATCATTGAAGGCATGAATTAACAAAAAATCAGAACATAAAACGTCATATTGATCGTGGGGTTATGAATATTTAGTGGAAGTGCCCAATTGCCCATATTTTAAAACTTCCTACCCATAATGCCATTATGATCGTGTAATGACGTTTTGATGCAAATAACACACAGACATATACATATGTATCAAGAATAAATATGCATATCATATCAATATAAAGAACATAAAAATACAACATAAAAGAGTAAGCAAAAAGGTTACGACTCCTTTGCTATTTTTCTCTCCTCGTTGAATACTCTCCAAGTACCCCAAGTGTGGTACCTGTAGAAATTATCCCATTACAATGGAATAAGAACAATTTCTCCCTTGGGTGACAGAGAATATGGATAAACACAAGAAGAATAGCAAACAGGTTGCCAATCTTCTTGGATGTGTCTTTGGTGGCTAGGGTTCTCTCCTTTTGTAATTTTCTTCTTTTTCCTCTTTTTACTCCTACGTATAATGAACCCTAAGTCTCTTTTAAATAGCCACTTAATATTGATTAGTAGGTTATCCCTGAAATATCTTATTCCAGTTTAAGTTATTCGCTAATGTTTAACTAATAAATAAACCTAGGCCCATTTGAGTGCTAGCACAATTTGGGTCAAAGTTAATTATTAAACCTATTTATAAAGTCTCCTTATTTGGACTTAAATTTTTAATTAATTATTAATAATGTTGTGTGTGTGCTAGATACGTATATTATATATAAGTATATATATAGTAGCAGATCCAGGAATTTCTTTTAGGGTGAGCCAAAATATTAAATTATACAATTTAATATTTAAAAAAAAATTTGAGGGTGGGCCAAAAGTGGCTGATCCGCCCCTACCGGTATATATATAGACACACACATACACACACATATAATATAGTTTTATTTTACTTGTTTAAAAAAACTAATTAAAAGTTTTATTAATACCTTCACCTTTGGGAAACTAATGCGAAATAGTATAGCTTTAGATTAAAAAATTTGGAAAGTATAACATTATATGATTACAACTAGATTATATCTAGACATAAATATGACACGGCTTAACTAAACATTATTTTTATAACATGAAGATAAAATTTATTTAGTTCATTAATTTCAACTACAACTATAGGTATAACTATAAGGCAAATATAGGGTCGTCTCTAGAACATTTGTGACCCTAGGTAAGAATTACTTTGGGACCTTCTAAAAATATAAGTATATATTAAAAAATATTAAATTTTTTTTTTTTTTTTTGCCTTTTGAGATGCAAATCACTAGGAGAGGTGGGCAACAAGCTAACAAGGTCAGGTTGGTAGGGGTGTTTGGGAGAGTAGATGTTAGAGAAGCGGGGTGGTGAAATGGGTAATTTCTAATGCTAGGATGTCTGGAAAGCTTGAGAAGTGCGGCCTAAAAAGTATCTGTGCCTAGCGATTGACGAGTAAACAAATGAGGTATGATAGGGGTTTTGGTGAGAGGGTTAGGGGGAAGATGGTGTGTCGGGGAAGGCCAACAACGCTGGGTACATGCCGACAAGGCCAGAAATGGTTGTCGCACGCTGTGGAGTTGGGTTGCGAGATTCGTAAAAAATCGGCTAAATTGAGGGTTATCAAGGTTAGAAACATTTGGGAAATGAAAGTGATGATTTTGGTGAAAAATCGACCGATCAGCTCAAAATGGCTGGCAACAGAGAGAGCGGTGAAAATGATTTATGTGAATGTTGAATTTTGGGATGGAATTGGGGTGGGTAATTTGAGACATGTAAATGACTATTTTAGCCTTTCATTTTTAAAAGAAATCCAATGTGTTAATTTAGGGGTGTAAATTAGAATATATGAAACTAGAAATACAACCTTGCAATTTCGTCTAACTTTGGGTGGGAATATATGTAAAAGTAATAATAAATTTGGTCTTTTTGGCTTTTTTTTGGGCCCCTTGGCCTAGATAAAAAATTATACACCGTTTTCATTTTTGTAATATATTCAAAAAAAAATTTATAAAAATTTGGACCCCATTTTTGGGGGGACCTCTTGAGCCGGCCCTGGGCAAATATTCGATAATTACTCATATATTATTAAATTATTGGAATTTTAGTAATGAATATGAAGAAAATTGAAAAATGTAATTTTCAGATAGTATAAATTAAAATGGAATTAAATATAACTAGAATATCAATACTAAATATAAAGTTCATCATGTCCGGAGCAATTGAATAGATATTATTAATTTAAGTGCAAATTTTTCATGAAATGCAAAAAAAAAACGACACAGCTTCATTGTGGTCAATTTAGAGACACTAATAGTAACTTTGCTTGATTTAGAGACACTTACTATTAATTGCAATTATTTTTAATAGGAAAACAATGGCAAATCATAATTGATAACTTATAAGAAATAAAGTCTACTAAATAATTCATCCAATAAAACGTTGACATGGTTTTCTTTTTTCATTTAAATTTTTTGTTTTTGTTAGTTTATTATTATTTTTAATAATTAAACTGTGAAATCAAACAATTTTTCTAAATGTTTAATTTTTTTTTAGTTTTTAAATTTAAAATTGAAAGACTAAACCAAATAATAGAGGGTAATAAGTCTTTATGTTGTTTCCTATTAAAATTAACAACAAATGTTCTTAAATTGAACGAAGTTACTATTTGGTGTCCGTTATATTGACAATTGAAACTTGTGTCCATTTTGTCTCTAAATTGAACAAAGTTAAAATTTAATGTCCCTAAATTGAATAAATTGAAACTTTTATCTTTTTTTTAGCATTTCATAAAAAAGTTGTACTTAAATTGATAATTTTTTTTTTTTATCAATAACATTTACCAATCACATGCATGTTTCCTAATACATAAACTACATTTAAGTTTTTGGAATTGAAGTATGGGTGTTTATGTGAAATGAGTTAACAATATTGAGGTGCAGTTTCTATGGTAGAACAATATAACTATGTATTATTACAAGTATGAAATAATTACTTGAAAGACCATTTTTTAGAGTAAATTAAAAAAACATGTTTCAAATTGAATTGTGGGCAAAATTTTCGTATACAAGTTTTTTCCACAATTTTACCCCTATTTTAAAACCTCCTTCACTTCACTTTTTTATTTTATTTTATTTTATAATTAGGATATCGTACTAACTTGCACGTATTTCAATTAATCCTCGAAGACTATTGAATACTTTACAAATAAGTTACTAATGTTGTATTTTTGCTCTTCTTTTTGTCACTTACCCCATATCACCCTAAAGTTTATATAATGCATCCATCTTGGACATAATAAACTAGTTACCTTAATTTACATCTTCATAACCGATTCTTCAAGCAAAAATAAGCTTATTATTTTCTCTTACTTACCTTTTCTAATTTACAAAACAAAATTAAATTTTTTAATCATGTTGTTAATTAATTAAGTGATATATCATTTATAATAACTCATATATTGTGTTTAGTAAAAAAAAAAAAAAAAAAGATTTAAAATGTTAAAATTTTCAGAAAATGATGAACAAACTCGAGAAGATTGAATAAACTCGAACACAATTTCATGTTTTAAGTGTGAAAGACACGGATAGAAGTGTCCAAAATCTTATAAGAAAACTCGCTTACAAATCCATTTGAAGTTGGATTATTTATTAATTGCCTTCTAAAGGGTCCAATAAATAAATTTTCGCTATAGCTAGTTTACTATATATTTATAATTGATTTTTTAACTATATATGTAGTAATATGAAATCAAGCTTTGTAATTCTCATAATTATTAAACTTATTAATATTATAACTTATAATTTGTTTACCAAAGAAAATCTATAACATTGTACTTAATTAATACATATATATTTTCATAGAATATTATTTGAGTTGAATGTTTGAGTTGAGTTGAATCTATTAGTCAGCTCTTGTTTCCGCAACTTCATCAACTTCTCAAGCAAAAACCTAACACCTAGCTTTTGAATTTGAAATAATTGACACAATTAACCTGTATTAAGCAAGATAATACCACAATTAACAGAGTTTTGTGACTTTTTTTCCTGTTGTTTTGACAATTAAGACTGTATAATCCCTCATAGAATCTTATTTTTTAATCTTTCAGGAGAAAAATCAATGGTCAAAAAGTGGATTATATATTACTTGAAAAAAAATGCTTGTTGAATTGGAAGTTGGAACTCGGATAGAAACTAGCACTTTTTGATGCAAGCAATGACGAACTATAATCAACCCCAGAAAATCAAGATAAATTATTTAATGAATAATGTCAGTAACTTCAGCTATAAATACTGGCTTTTGCCTTAGTTAATTTCCTTAGTTCTATAAGTATCGTGTTATTAGATTTGTGTAACAATGGCAAGTGAAGTAGTTTTACTGCATTTGTTGCATAGTCCTTTTGCAACGAGAGTGAGGATAGCTTTGGCAGAGAAAGAAGTTGAGTTTGAATCAAGAGAAGAAGATTTGAGCAACAAGAGTCCTTTGCTTCTTAAAATGAACCCTGTGAATAAGCAAATCCCAGTTTTGATTCATAAGGGCAAACCCATTTGTGAATCTCTCATCATAGTTGAGTACATCGACGAGGTTTGGAATCATAAATCTCCATTGCTGCCTTCTCATCCTTACCTCCGAGCTCATGCTAGATTTTGGGGTGATTACATCGACAAGAAGGTAAGTAACATTTCCTTTATTCTCATAAATTATTTAGTAAGAACCACCAAAAAGACCTATATGCACCGATGCCAAGCCCGACGCTGTGACCTGACAACGGCGCACTATTAAATACACTGCCGCCAAACCAGATGCTGGGACCTAGCGCAGACAAAATTTGCCAGATGAATATTGGTATTTCCCCATAGGCGGAGGCCATACAGGGCAACGGCGTATGAGATTGATACCTGCATCGGGGTAACAGTTTTCCTCCAACGCAGGCAGATGGCGTTGGAGGAATACGGATATTTCTCCTTAGCCCTCCGGTAGTATACAAGGGAGGTTTATAGAGAGAAGAATAGACAAAAGAAAAGGCTATGACAAAATATTCCAAATTATTATATGATATTACATCTTCTTTAAATATTCTGACAATTGGGTATTATGAATGCAGATCTATCCTATAGGAAGGATGTTGTGGGCATCATCGGATCATGAAGTGAAGGAAGCATCAAAGAAGGAACTCATAGAGATCTTCAAAGTGCTGGAAGGAGAGCTTGGAGTTAAGCCTTATTATGGATGCGACACCTTCGGCTTTGTAGATGTGGCCCTCATTCCCAACTACGCCTTTTTTCATACATTTGAGATGCTGGGAAACTTCAGCTTTGAAGCTGAGTTTCCAAAGCTTGTCTCTTGGGCTAAGAGATGCATGCAAAAAACCAGTGTTTCCAAGTCTCTATGTGATCAACACAAGGTTTATGAAGTTGTTTTGGAGCTCAAAAAGAAGTTGGGGTTTGAATAAGAGATCTAGGTTATTATTAATTTATTATCAATGTTAAAGAGTTATGTAATTTTCCTTGAGAGTGAGTGGTTTTGTTTCCTAATTGTTCTTTCTTTTAAATATTGTGTGATTATATGTCAAGTTTAGCTCTTTGTTGTAGCAGCTTTGTATGGCAAACCTTTACCCCGACGCCACGCACAGTGTCAGTATTCTCTTATGCATTATGCTATACATATGAGGTGTTGGGGTTAGGAATGTTTAACGGAAGCCCGAGTTGTTCAGATTTTAAAACTTCCTCCCCATAATGCCATTATGATTATGGTGATGATGTTTTAATGCAAATAACACGCACACGCACACGCACACGCACACGCACACACACACGCACACGCACACGCACATGCACACGCACACCCACACACGCACACGCACACGCACATACACACACGCACACACACACACACACATACACACACACACACACTTCACAATGGAATACTCTCCAAGTACCCCAAGTGTGGTACCTCTAGATTGATACACACATGATCTCACGTTGATGGGGATTATCTCACTACAATGGAATAAGAACAACTTCTCCTTTGGGATGATAGAGAATATGGAGATTAAACACAAAGAAGAATAGCAAATAGGTTCCTAATCTTCTTGGATGTGAATTTGGTGGCCAGGGTTCTCTCCTTTTGTAATTTTTTTTTTCTTTTTTTTACTCTTAGGTATAATGAACCCTAAGCCTCCTTTAACTAGCCATCCAATATTGGATTTGTAGGCTATCCCTGGAACATCTTATTCCGATTTAAGTTATTTTATGTTGGATTAACTAATAACTAAACCTAGACCCATTTGGGTGCTAGCTGAATTTAGATCAAAGTTTAATTATTAAACCTATTTATAAAGTCTCCTTATTTGCACTTATTTTTAATTAATTAATTAATTAAATTAATTAATCAACATTTAATTTATCCAATTACAAAAATACCCTTTTAGCCAATTATACTAATTAGTCAATTAGGACTTTTGGAAACTTTAATATCCTCATCAACTCTTTAATGATAAAATCCCTGATTCCCATCAAACTTAGAAATCTATAATGTGTGTGACCTTTCTAGGTTCATTTATTGATTGGTAGCAAAGTAAATATTAACTCTTGATATCCATCTTCCTTATGAACCATGAGTGACACCTAGCAGTATATTATGACCCCTAATCAATGAATGAAGTGGGATCATATGAACCTATAAATTAAGCGTTTCAGTCATGTCACCATTCCCTCCGATGTTGTGTTTTGATTAAGTGAGGATCATGTTATAGTCAAATATCTAACTTGATCATATAATTCAGATAATCTTGAACATGGAATAGTGTTTCTATGAAACTATTTATAAAACACAAATGCTTTGGCCAAAGACTTCCACCACATTCATTAATCCTTTGGAACACTCAAGCTCATAATAACCGAGCCATCATATTCCTTATTGAATATGCATCTGACTTCAAACATGACTGATTAACTCATGACCAACAACATTATACACTAGTGATAAACCAATATTTTCCCTAGTATTTTGTTATGTTTTTTGTTGTTATTTATGTGTTTTACCTTAAGAATATGTTACTTTGAGGTGGTTTTTACTGTTTTGAAGATACATGAGCTTTTGGAATGCATTTGGAAGAAATCATGCAAAATGTGTCGAGAATCGGAGTTAACAAGAGGAAGAAGAATGCGAAGCAACTGGATGGTGCCGCGACAGAGTTTTCTACGCCACGGCGCAAAAAAGCTATCTGGACAGAAAGTTAACGCCGCGGCAGGAAGAATTCGGCACTACGACACGAAAGAGTTACTACAACATTATGCATTTCTAGCCATGACGTTCATTGTAGCCAAAAGTATGAATTTGCGTAGCTAAATAGTTTAGCTACAAATGCAATGTTTTGTAGCTTATCGTAGCTAGAAGTGACGCAACTAAAAGTTAACTATGTAACTTTTTGCTTATGTAGCTAACAGTTTATATTTTTTGCCATAACAATAATAAGCTTGTAGCAAAAGCTTTGCCTTCATAGCCATGGAGAATAGTCAACATAGCTATGTTTGCATTTTAGCTACACAAATATAAATTTATAACTAAAACTTGAAAATTCTTGCTACAAAAATAATATCCATGGCAAGTATATTAACATTTTGGCTACGTGATCACTAAATTCATAACTAAAGAAAAAAATCATTTGCCACATATATAGTGAATTCGCAGCTAAATATTAAATTGTTTGCTATAGATATATAAAAGTTGTATCTATATATGAAAAGATATTGCTATAGATATAATGTGTTAATAGCTAAATATTGAAATTACTTGTTATGAATGCTTTTGATTTGTAGTTAAATATTATAATTATTTGCTATGAACATAGTTTGTTAATAGCTAAATATTGAAATTACTTTCTATGAATACTTTTAATTTGTAGCTAAGTATTATAATTATTTGCAATGGAACAAATAATTTATATCAATAATTTATAATTTATTGCTTTGATTAAAATCAATTGTAACAAATATTGCTATAATTAACAAATTTAATGTTAATTACAAATTTATAGCAATATTTTTATATTGAATAGATAATATGATGTCATAAGAAAAATTCTAATATAAAAAATAAAACATTGATAAAGTCATTTTCAACCAAATAATTGTTTACTCATAAAATCTTTCATAATTTAAAATGTTATCAACTGATTTTTTTACAAAATATGAATGCTTCAATGTCATAGCAACCTTTCCTAATCATTTAAGAATTTCTAGCAACTTGCAATATCAAATTTCAAGAAAAAAAAAATAATATTAATCATATAGACTAATGTAATCATTGTATCACTTTATGATTAATGTAAAAGAAAAATGGTTTTTATAGTAATATATGCAATTTTCAAAATAGCTTACAATTTATCCTATAGGCAAAAGGCAGTATGCTACTCAACTACAAAATCTAACATTAATGTTCTAATTAGTCCATGATAACAGAAGTATACCAAGCTAAGCAATGAAAAAGCCAACAATATTTAACCCTGTACAAGTGCAAGCAACACAAGGAGAAAAGAAAATCCATACAATTAATGCACATGATCACTACCCTGGTCAACCAAAAAGGCATCAATAGGAAGGCAACAATCATCAGATACATGCTCACTTCTCTGGTCACCACTTTCATTGTGTGAGCCCTTAATATTATCAAATGAGGGAGGACTGCCAAGCAATGTCTGTTCCACACGATTCATATCAATTTTTCCAGCTCCACATTCTTGAATGCCTACACTCTGTATCTGGGTACTTGGCTGTGATGATACAGGACCTTGACCATTATTACATACAATTGGTCCCTTACCAAGCATCTCAAATCCTTTACTTTTGCTACCTCAAACATAATGATTATATATAACTTGACCTAGCATATTTGCTGACACAGATAGTTCACTTGAATTACACTCTTGAGACCGGCATTGGTCCAAAACCCTCCCAACAACTGCAATATTTGATTTACAGAACTGAATAACATAAAATACAGGAGGAAAAAAAAAAAAAAAAAATTAAATAATGCATCAAACAATGATATAAAAATTAAACCTACCAGAAGAAATAGAATGATTCATATTGGCCCCAGAAAAAGCATCTAATCCTTTAAAGATTGTCACTATATTTTCCACAAAATGCAAAGGCCTTAAATCTGCCAAACATATTACAACATTAGAAAAGTTACTAGTGCTTATTTTCTTTTTGAATTGTATTTCAATCGTATCCAAGGATTTGATCAAGATCACAAATAAACAACAGTACCTGCTTCACGACATTCAGATTTACATAGAGGGCACCCTGAACCAAACTGCGCTAATCTGTGTATACATGAACTGCAGGGAATTCATTAAAGATAATTAAAAAATACAACACTTATTTTTCCCATAAAAAATCTAGGATAAAAATAATTTCATAGGAAAATAAAAAAAGGCTTATTAATGTTTTATCCAAATGGCAGAAATTTTTACACGGGCCAACCTGAAAGCTGGGAATACCTCACTCGTGATAATCCCACCACACCATGGAACAAAAACAGTTTTACATTCTATTCCATCAAATTAAATTCAAAAATTACAAAAATTTGACCTTTCATGTGAAAAACTGTTGCCTTTTCCATTGTACTTTCGACTCATAAAGACAATAACAAAACCGAAACATAAATTTCAAACTAATTCCGCAACTCTCCTTTTTCAACCAAACATAGATGATTAAACTAAATTCAAGCCAAACCCCTTACCACATACAATCATACGATGATAAAACAAAACAAAAACATAAATTAAAAGCTGTCGATGCTTGATTTTGGACGCCAACGACTTACACGTGAGAAGCGCTAAGCGAACTTAAAAATCACAGGTGATGGATCCATTAGATTTGAATATGGAGCTGAGATTATATATGTTGCAGAAAACATAAATAAAAGATTGGCAAGAGGGGTTTTTATAGTGGTTCGGATTAGAGCTGGGCATTTGGGACCGAGCCCAAAAGCCCAGCTCCAAAACCCGGTCCTAGGACCGGTCCTTGAGGAGGCCTGGTCCCAAAACGGGACCAGGCCTAAGCCCAAATTTTTTTGCCTTTTATCATTTTAGTCCTTTGTAAAATTATTTAAACCCCCTAAAATAAGTATAAATTATAAGGACTAAAATGAAATAAATTCAAACTAACATGAAAAAATCATTTGCCAATAACATCGGATCATGAAGTGAAGGAAGCATCAAAGAAGGAACTCATAGAGATCTTCAAAGTGCTGGAAGGAGAGCTTGGAGATAAGCCTTATTATGGGGGCGACACCTTCGGCTTTGTAGATGTGGCCCTCATTCCCTACTACGCTTTTTTTCATACATTTGAGATGCTGGGAAACTTCAGCTTTGAAGCTGAGTTTCCAAAGCTTGTCTCTTGGGCTAAGAGATGCATGCAAAAAACCAGTGTTTCCAAGTCTCTATGTGACCAACACAAGGTTTATGAAGTTGTTTTGGAGCTCAAAAAGAAGTTGGTGGTTGAATAAGAGATCTAGGTTATTATTAATTTATTATCAATGTTAAAGAGTTGTGTAATTTTCCTTGAGAGTGAGTGGTTTTGTTTCCTTGTTCTTTCTTTTAAATATTGTGTGATTATATGTCAAGTTTAGCTCTTTGTTGTAGCAGCTTTGTATGGCAAACCTTTACCCCGACGCCACGCACGGTGTCATTATTTCTCTTATGCATTGTGCTATACATACGAGGTGTTGGTGTTAGGAATGTTTAGCAGAAGCGCGGGTTGTCCGGATTTTAAAACTTCCTCCCCATAATGCCATTATGATTGTGGTGATGATGTTTTAATGCAAATAACACGCACACACATACCCACACAACTGCACCCACACCCGCACCCGCACCCGCACCCGCACCCGCACCCGCACCCGCACACGCACACGCACACACACTTCACAATGGAATACTCTTCAAGTATCCCAAGTGTGGTACCTCTAGATTGATACACAGGATCTCACGTTGATGGAGATTATTCCACTACAATGGAATGAGAACAACTTCTCCTTTGGGATGACAGAGAATATGGAGATTAAACACAAAGAAGAATAGCAAATAGGTTCCTAATCTTCTTGGTGTGAATTTGGTGGCTAGGGTTCTCTCCTTTCGTAATTTTTTTTGTTCTTTTTTTTACTCTTAGGTATAATGAACCCTAAGCCTCCTTTAACTAGCCATCTAATATTGGGTTTGTAGGCTATCCCTAGAATATCTTATTCTGGTTTAAGTTATTTTATGTTGGATTAACTAATAACTAAACTTAGACCCATTTGGGTGCTAGCCGAATTTAGATCAAAGTTTAATTATTAAACCCATTTATAAAGTCTCCTTATTTGCACTTATTTTTAATTAATTAATCAATAATTAATCAACAATTAATTTATCCAATTACAAAAATGCCCTTTTAGCCAATTCTACTAATTAGTCAATTAGGACTTTTGGAAACTTTAATATCATCATCAACTCTTTAATGAGAAAATCCATGATTCTCATCAAACTTAGAAATCTATAATGTGTGTGACCTTTTTAGGTTCATTTATTGATTGGCGGTAAAGTAAATATTAACTCTTGATATCCATCTTCCTTACGAACCATGAGTGACACCTAGCAGTATATTATAGCCCTTAATCAATGAATGAAGTGGGATCATATGAACCTATAAATTAAGCGTTTCAGTCATGTCACCATTCCCTCCGATGTTGTGTTTTGATTAAGTGAGGATCATGTTATAGTCAAATATCTAACTTGATCATATAATTCGGATAATCTTGAACACGGAATAGTGTTTCTATGAAACTATTTATAAAACACAAATGCTTTGGCCAAAGACTTCCTCCACATTCGTTAATCCTTTGGAACACTCAATCTCATAATAACCGAGCCATCAGATTCCTTATTGAATATGCATCTGACTCCATACATGATTGATTAACTTATGACCAACAAGTATTACACACTAGTGATAAACCAATATTTGCCCTAGTATTTTGTTATGTTTTTTGTTGTTATTTATGTGTTTTACCTTAAGAATATGTTACTTTGAGGTGATTTTTACTGTTTTGAAGGTACATGAGCTTTTGGAATGCATTTGGAAGAAATCATGCAAAATTGGTCAAGAATCGGAGTTTACAAGAGGAAGAAGAATGCGAAGCAATTGGATGGTGCTGCGATAGAGTTTTCTGCACCATGACGCGAAAAAGCTATCTGAACAGAAAATTGACGCCGCGGCAAGAAGAATTCGACGTTGCGGCATGAAAGAGTTACTATAACATTATGTATTTCTAACCATGACGTTCATTGTAGCTAAAAGTATGAATTTGCGTAGCTAAATAGCTTAGCTACAAATGCAATGTTTTGTAGCTTATCGTAGTTAGAAGTGACACAACTAAAAGTTAGCTATGCAACTTTTTGCTTATGTAGCTAACAGTTAATATTTTTTTGCTATGGATGAGATTAATATATAACTAAAAACTTAAATGTTTTTGCTATAACAATAAGAAGCTTATAGCAAAAACCCTTTATAGCTATGGAGAATAGTCAACATAACTATGTTTGCATTTTAGCTGCACAAATATAAATTTATAACTAAAACTTGAAAATTCTTGCTACAAAAATAATATCCATGGCAAGTATATTAACATTTTGGCCATGTGATCACTAAATTCGTAACTAAAGAAAAAGATCATTTGCCACATATATAGTGAATTCGTAGCTAAACATTAAATTATTTGCTACGGGTATATAGAAGTCGTATCTATATATGAAAAGATATTGCTATAGATATAATGTGTTAATAGCTAAATATTGAAATTACTTGTTATGAATGTTTTTGATTTGTAGCTAAATATTATAATTATTTGCAATGGAACAAATAATTTATATCAAGAATTTATAATTTATTGCTTTGATTAAAATCAATTGTAACAAATATTGCTATAATTAACAAATTTAATGTTAATTACAAATTTATAGCAATATTTTTATATTGAATAGATAATATGATGTCATAAGAAAAATTCTAATATAAAAAATAAAACATTGATAAAGTCATTTTCAACCAAATAATTGTTTACTCATAAAATCTTTCATAATTTAAAATGTTATCAACTGATTTTTTTACAAAATATGAATGCTTAAATGTCATAGCAACCTTTCCTAACCATTTAAGAATTTCCAACAACCTGTAATATCAAATTTGAAGAAAAAAAATAATAATATTAATCATATAGACTAATGTAATGATTGTATCACTTTATGTTTAATGTAAAAGAAAAATGGTTTTCATAGTAATATATGCAGTTTTCAAAATAGCTTACAATTTATCCTATAGGCAAAAGGCAGTATGCTACTCAACTACAAAATCTAACATTAATGGTTGATTAGTCCATGATAACAGAAGGTACCAAGCTAAGCAATGAAAAAGCCAACAATATTTAACCCTGTACAGTTTTCAAAATAGCTTACAATTTATCCTATAGGCAAAAGGCAGTATGACTCAACTACAAAATCTAACATTAATGTTCTGATTAGTCCATGATAACAGAAGTATACCAAGCTAAGCAATGAAAAGCCAACAATATTTAACCCTGTACAAGTGCAAGCACACACAATGAGAAAAGAAAATCCATACAATTAATGCACATGATCACTACCCGGTCAACTAAAAGGCATCAATAGGAAGGCAACAATCATCAGATACTCACATGCTCACTTCTCTGCCACCACTTCATTGCTGAGCCCTTAATATTATCAAATGAAGAAGGACTGCCAAGCAATGTCTGTTCCACACGATTCATATCAATTTTGCCAGCTCCACATCTTGAATGCCTTCACTCTGTATCTGGGTACTTGGCTGTGATGATACAGGACCTGACCATTATACATACAATTGGTCCCTTACCAAGCATCTCAAATCCTTACTTTTGTACCTCAAACATAATGATTATATATAAACTTGACCTAGCATATTGCTGACACAGATTGTTCACTTGAATACACTCTGAGACCGGCATTGGTCCAAAACCCTCCCAACAACTGCAATATTTGATTTACAGAATGAATAAATAAACTACAGGAGGAAAAAAAAATTAAACAATGCATCAAACAATGATATAAAAATAAACCTACCAGAAGAAAGAGAATGATTCATATTGGCCCAGAAAAAGCATCTAATCCTTTAAAGATTGTCACTATATTTCCACAAAATGCAAAGGCCTTAAATCTGCCAAACATATTACAACATTAGAAAAGTTACTAGTGCTTATTTTCTTTTGAATTGTATTTCAATCGTATCCAAGGATTTGATCAAGATCACAAATAAACAACAGTACCGCTTCACGACATTCAGATTTACATAGAGGGCACCTGAACCAAACTGCGCTAATCTGTGTATACATGAACTGCAGGGAATTCATTAAAGATAATTAAAAAATACAAAACTTATTTTCCCATAAAAAATCTAGAATAAAAAAAAGGCTTATTAATTTATCCAAATGGCAGAAATTTTTACACGGGCCAACCTGAAAGCTGGGAATACCTCACTCGTGATAATCCCACCACACCATGGAACAAAAACAGTTTTACATTCTATTCCATCAAATTAAATTCAAAAATTACAAAAATTTGACCTTTCATGTGAAAAACTGTTCCCTTTTTATTGTACTATCGACTCATAAAGACAATAACAAAACCGAAAACTAAAATTCAAAAATTCCGCAACTCTCCTTTTCAACCAAACATAGATGATTAAACTAAATTCAAGCCAAACCCCATCCACATAAAATCATACGATGATAAACAAACAAAAAACCTAAATTAAAAGCAAACCCACCCAGTTCATAAAATACCTGCCCTTCTCGTTCTCCGCTTGGATCCTTCGAAGAAGCGCGGTCGTTTTGCCGGCAAAAATGGGTCCTACAATCACGTGAATTTCACCTGATGATGAAGAATTAGAGGCCTTGGTTTGCAAGATTCGATTTTGAACAGAAAAAAAGCAGGAATTTAGGCGAAGCCATTGGGGGTTTAGGTTAGTGTAGATAATGATTTGAGATTGAGAGTTGTAGGGTGACAAAAATTGGATTTGAGGCGAAGGTGAGGCCTTTGTGAGGTAAAGAGACAAGGGTGTGTGTGGAATGCTGGGGCTATAAGAGACTTCATGCTTGAAATAGTTAACATGTGGGTTGTGAGAGGGAGGAAGAAGGAGAAGGGTGTAGGGTTTTGCTTGCTAAGAAAAGAGATTAAAAGTTGGCATGCTTGGGCTTGGCTAAATTTAGGGTTAAGGGTGAGAGTTTTGAGAAAGAGGAGATGAGAAGTGGCAAAGGTTTAAGGATGAGGGAAAGGCTTCAAGCAAGGAAATTAAGAGAAATAAATTTATTTTTCTATTTTTGCAAAAACAGTTGTAACAAATTCCATATATAACACATTTATAGATTTTAAAAAATTAATTTAAAAGGTAAAATACTTTTCATTTCATAAATCATGG